CTCTCCAGACCTGCTTTCACCTGCCTTAACCAAAAGATCATCCTTTATCTCCTGTACTTTCTTATCTTCTTCAACTATTGCAGCATACAAGGCTGGATTAGAACAGATAACAGCCTCCATCACTTCATGACTTTATAGACCTTTTCCAAGCACCTACTCTCCAGAAACAGTTTCTCTTCCGAGGCCTAGCTGAAAACGTAAAGGCTAAACAGCGGCCCTCCAGAGAGATTAAAGACAAGAGACAGGCGTCAGAGCATGCAGAAAATGTCTCCTCATCACACCACTCTGCAAAGCTGATGCACTTAGCATAAAACCAACAGAGGGACCCCGGCAGACAGGAAGCCTGCAGCCTGCTTCCAACTTCAGAACAAAGGAATACTCAATTGCCTTTGCAACTGCCATGCTTATACCACTATCATGCATTCCTGGTAATTACCATCAAGGTGATTAGTAATGACAACAACAAACCCCAGTGGCAGCCCCATGGTGGAATCCCTGAAAAGCTAGCAACGCCCTTCTGAGCAATGATTGAGAATCACTGGAGCAAGCTAAAGCTTGCAATCCTTTCTGCAGGTTCCAGGGTCCCAAAGACTTCACAAGGGCCACAGATCTTTGACATTCCCAAGGGCTGAAAATGGCTCACTTCAGCTTTATTTCTCTTTGTGTCTGCCTGATGCTGTAGTGATTGTTCATGTCACTTGGAAGTATTTCTTCATGATGGCAGTGGTATTCTGCCAGCTTGTTAAAACATTTCTAGTGGTCACCCAGTGTGCACTATAGGCTGAATTAATTAACAATCACAAAGGCAGAATCATTCTTTTCCCACTCAGAGGTGTTTCCACACAAGTACCCCACCAGTCTTCCACTTACTTTAATCCTGTGGACAAGGGGAGCAAAAAGGAACACAAAGAGCTCCACTGTGGCCATGGAGTTCTGGAAGAACTTCCTTCTGTTATTCTCCTCATCATCATTCACGGCACTGGGCCGGGGATGTCCTGGTGATCCCTGATTTTCAGCTTGGTGGATAAAGGCGCTACTGCTCCCTCCCCAACTAGAGCCTCTGTCTCCTCCAAATCGGTCATTGCTGCAGTCCTGAGGGGCCTCCAGCAGCATCCAGTGAAGAGTGTGAAGAAGCTTTGTTTCAGCTACTCCAAGCTTATCCTGATGTCCTGGATGGAAAAATGCATCACAGTATCTCACAGGAGTTCCATTAACGGTACTGTTGAGACTTTCAGAGCCACACAGGAAATTGGGCATCCAACGTCCTGATAAGCATTTGAAAATTAAAATTCTACCATTAAAAGTATCAGCATTCTGTTTCACTATGCTTGAAACCTCCTAATTCACAAGTCTCCATTTACTTCACAGCATTTGCCATTCAGTCCCTGAAATGTCAGTTGCAGGGCAAATGAATGTATGAACATAGAGTGCTCCTAAAAGATGTCAGCTTGACAGTCTTGTCTGTTTGACTCTATTGAATGGCATGTCTCATGAAGCAAGTTCCTGCTAAAATCACTGCTGAAATCAGTAAAAGTACTAGTAAAGTAAGTTACATTTGGACCTGGCCCTATCCTTATTATCTGATTGACTTATCTGCTGAGAATCAAATGCCTTAGTCTGAATAAAAAGAAGAAAAAGAAAAAAAAGAGAACTGAAGATATTAAAAGCACCTGCTGCAACTGGGCACTGCACCGTGTGTTGAAAGAAATATCTATTCCTTCACAGAACCCATGCCTGCTGGGTGGTAAGGCTTTTGCTAAAGCTAGTTCTATTACCTCTGGAAAATAACTAGCAAAATATTATTGAACTACTTTGACTTTTCAGCTCATCAGACCATTTAACTTCACTGGGGAAGCTCTCACGGGTTACCCTGCTATAAATGAGAACAGATCAAGGAAGGCAATCCATAGAATGAACTAACTGGGATTCTAGGATTTAGAATATGTTGGCACCCTGACCATAAATCTGTCATATTTTGAGTGATAACTTCAGTAATGAAAAAACAAACTCACATGAGCACTAACCTAGCTTGTTTCGGTTGGAGAGCAATGTTGCGGTGCAGTGCAGCACATGTGGGAGCGCAGCTTGGACAAGTTCCCAGCGAGAAATGCTCTGGATGGCTTCAGAGAGAGCTGGAGAAAGGCCATGCAGCTTGTTCTCTACTAAAACTCTTTCAAAAGACTGAAAGAAAGAACAAAGAAAAAAAAGACACTGTGTATCTATTCCTGCACATACCTTCTAGTTCATACAACATCCTCTTTTAAAAATCTGTAATTTATAAGTTTTCATTATATAACTAAAGCACATCTTAGAATATTTTTCCTGAAAGACAAGACTGTAGCTAAAGTTCACCAGACATATGGACATACTTAGCTAAGAAATGAATGGGCCACTCAATATATTTTCTGTAATAAAAAAAAAATTAAAACAAGTATCGTGTGTATATTAGTAAGTGCCAACATCAAGCCACACTTACAGTTGTGCTGGGTATTAATCTGGCATGCCAGTAATCCTTTTGGAAGTCACAGGAGCTAACGAAGCCTGTATTTGTGGAGCTGAGAGCTGGATATTCTTCTCACACACACATGCTCTTTCAGTTTAGTGTAATATAAAGGGCAAGCCATTAAAGGTATATGGGCCTTAGGAAATGTTTTCACACCCTGCCACAAAAAAATAATCAGTGTACAAAAGTTTTTGTCGAGCCTTGATGTAATGGTTTTGTGAACACTTAAAAGAGCTGATGGCTGCAGCAAGTTCATTATTTCCACCTCAAGCAACACAAAATAAGGCTATCTGCCTTTGAAATCCCTAAGGAAGTTCCTTATTGCTAGTTGCTCCAACCATTTCAATAAGTTCTTCCTCTGACCAGATACAAAGATCTCATTATAGGTCACAAAAGCAGTTATATTCTTTCACTGAAGTTCCTAAAGCGAAGAAATACATTACTGATAAAGCATGTCCTTGTCATATACCAGCTTAGCCTCCTGGCTACTTACTTGTTCACAAGCTGTTTCACCAATTTTATCAGGTTCTCGGCAAACAAGTAACTGTTGGCATTCATGACCACAGATGCTTCAAATGCCCTCACTCCAGATTCATAAAGCTTATCCTTCAACACTAGTCATACCGATTTTTCCTGTAAAGTGTGGGGGGGGGGAGGGGCGGTAATAGGAATAGACTTAATTACAAAGAAGAAAAGCAAAAAGGGCAGCAGTCGTAACCTAGCTCTCCTAAACAACCAGCCACTCCCAGGCGTGGCATGCTAACCAGCGTGCACTCTTCTGCATACCCCAGCAGCTGTGCACATTTGTTCTCTCAGGTCGTGGCCACATCCACCGGTGTGGGCAGACATGAGCTCCTCCATCGAGAGGCAAGATGCCCTGGTGCAAGCACAGTGCCGCACCATCGTGGTTTTACAGCATTCCCATAAAGCTCCGCTCTGGCCAGCATGGAGGCAGAGAAACACACATCTATCTGTACTTATAACCTAAGACAGAAACTCCCCAATAGCACCAGGCATAGTCAAAGAGAAGGGGAGATGGACTGTATGATTTACACCGATGTATTTGGGGGGGTATTCAGAACTGAGTGTGCTTATAGAGGACTAAGCCTGTAGCAACACAAACTGAACCTGAAGAAATACTGACAATAAACATCAGAGCTGCCAACAAACATAAGTGTGTAGAAAGTCCATCTACTAGAAACCCCGGGTTCTAGTGAGAAAACTCAACAGACTTTCTTTATGGAACAATGGCTGAAATTGGAGGGCATTAGTTGTAGTATGTGGAAAAAAAACGCTGGCTTCTTGGGGATTAGTCAAAAATAATGGGCCATGGATTAGGTTGTCAGCAATGTGTATTTCTTAGCACCAGGATCAGATAACATGTCTACCAGGGAAAGGATGCCTCAAATCACTCTTGGAGCAATCTGCTGGGGGCTGCATTGTCTACAAAGGGAAACGGTTTCCTGCCATTCATTCCTATCAGTTCAGGAAAGGGGGGAACATGAAGGGATGGCCGATGCTTGGAAAGCCTTGGCAGGTGGGGGAGCGAAGTATTTGTTGCAAGGTCTGAGTATTCTGTTCCATTCAGGAACTACAAAGTCATGAAGTCATCGAACCACAGTAGCAGTCGAGAGCACATTAGCATAAAGAGGTCTAGAACAACTATCCCCGACAAGGTTACCTAACAAAAGGGGGGAACAAAGCAGCAAAGTATCCCCAGAAGGAAGACAAGAGGTGCAGGGTTAATGCATGGTTACAAACAACAAAGTCTGAAAGAGCCAATGAAAAACATGGGATTTATTTATTTTTGTCAAAAGGGGACAGGGTGCCACTCCTTATTTGTTGCTCCAGCCACACACTCCCACCTCTACTCATGCATCAGCTCTGGGCCTTGCTGAAGCCTTCATTCAGCCAAGTCAAGCCTCTCCACAAGCCAAAATGAAGCTCAGCATAGAGGTAAGTAGTTTCTACCAGATTAGTGAGCTGAATTAGCTCACTGAAAGGCCTGCCAAGCACCAGTGCTGACCTAGGCTTATCAAAAGAAATTATCTTCTCACCTCCAATAGAAAAGCCAAACCATAAGCTCACACTTCAATACGGCGACAAATATATTCAGTTTACAGAGCAAGGGGAGGAAAAAAAAAATCATTGTGAGCAGCAACACTATTCTGAAGCGTGATGGAAGACACACTGTTGCTCTCTGGCTTTCCATTCAAGGTCTCATTCATGGGTACTTCAATGGCACCAGGGAGCAAGTTCTCCAACAACTGCCTTCCAGAAGCTCTGGCCCACATTCTGCATACTTCAGAAACTCAAGAGGAAGCCAAGGAGTCTACGATTATGTCTTTAAATTAGGCTTGTATTCACCTCAACATTTTGGGTTTCTGAGCCACATGAAGCTTTACCGACATGGTTAGCCACCAGATTCCTCTGTTCTTTCCTGGCCTGAGCAGAAAGCTAAATATATTTCTGTACCACAGTGAAAGATTAGCTTCTGGAACAGCATATGTGATCACAAGCATCTGAGACAGAAGTACTGTATGTTGCCAGAAAAATGCTAACACAAGGGCTACTGTATGGAAACCACTGAGTGTCCCTGTGTTCTACAGGCACTGGCTGGTACAGAACTGCCACTGTGCATGTACTGTCAGCACGGGACCTAGTTGGCATCAATCCCCACACTGATAACTGTCACACGCAGCCTGACAAAAACATGCAGTTCTTTGGACAAGTGTTCCCATGGGATTTGCCTGGAGTTTTCCATAAAGGTCCAGCTTCCGCCTACACCAGACATTCAAGATGCAAGGCTCCTGTAGAGCCTCCCTTTTTGGTCTGCTATCCTCTACTCTAACTTTCAGGACCCGCTACATACAATATACAGACATTAAGATGAGAGACCTAATTTTCACCCCACATGAACTAAGCAACTGCTGCTACAGCTGAGAGGAGTTACATGCCTCAATGAGAAGGCTGAATGAGAATGTTCGAAGTAAGCTCCCTGTAAGTCAGTCAGAGATACTGTCATGCTATGGGTATGTCTAGAGCTAAGAAAACAGTTGCCTACTTATAGCAGGCTTGTCTGTGCCTGCAACACCCCATGTGCCAAAGGAGGATAAAGAACATCTGCCAAGGTGGTAGTAGTGAGGGAAGTCAGTGTTATGCCTTGGCTGGAGAAAGGGCAGCCCCTTTCAGCGGTGCTCTGTGTGTGTGCATTCAGCTCCCTCAGGGCCACTTACACAAGCATTTTTCCTTTTAGCCGGGTGATGCCATCTGTTTTCCCAGGAAGTGGCGGTCAGTCTTGTCTGGCTGCCTTCCCACTGCTGCTGTTCTCCTTTTACCTCCTTCTCCACCAAGAACCAAAGGGACTGTCAAATACCTTGTGACCAGGGTCAGCCTGTGTGTCACTTTGCTGCTGGAATGGGAACAGGTAGCTGCCTGAAGAAGCCTAGACAAGCAGTACAGGACAGAGCAGATTCTGGCTGGGCTTTGCCATGGTTTCCTATACAGCTTTGCTCGAGTCGCATGAACTTCCCCTGCTCTAAGCCCAGGGGAGCTGTACCTGCAGCAAACTGCGTAAGGCAACAAGGGTTCAGCCAGGCCCCTAGCCCCCACTAGATGCCAGGACCTTGGGAAGCTCAGCACCCTCCTGTTCCATCCTCTCAGGAGTGCCAGATGAGCTGCAGGTCTCCTCCAAGGAAGTAGCCCTAGAGGATCTCACTTCAAAAAAAAAAAAAAAAAAAAAACAAAAACAAAAACAAAAACAAAAAACCCAAACAAAACAGTAAGCTAGGAGAGCAGGGCCCAGTGTTTAGCCTAGTGTATGTGCAGAAGGATCCTGACAGAGACATAGAGAAAATATTAGTGCTTCTTGAACCAGACTTCTGTCCTCGGAGGGAACCTTACTGCCCTGTTCTTCCAAAGCTCAGGCTGCATCATGGTGGAAAGCAGAGACCATTGCTAAAGTCACTTCAGACTGACTGGAAAGAAACGCAGGCAGACAGTATTGTCAGTCTGGTGAAGGTCCTCTGAGCAGGGAAGAGCTCCTAGAAAGATCTAAAACATTAATCTAGGAGTTCATAGCACAAGGGATGGTAAGGCTCCATTGTCTACTAAACACAGTAATAGTACAAACATTGACAAGCAATGAAACACAGATGCCAAACACTTTATTTACAGAAAACTTCCGTGTTCAAAAACCTCAGTTTTCTGCAACCATGTCCATTGGCTAGATAAAATAAAGGTGGCCTCTTTTTAAACTTTGTTCCATATCTATCCTTTAATCATTCATAACAACCAAACATACTACTACATTTGCAAAAACAAGTAAAAAAAAAAAAAAAACAACAGAAAAGAGGTAAACTTTGAATTTGCAGGATCCTCCAGAAAATGTTTGGGTTCTTCCATGCCCAATGCAATCCAGGGTAAAAGAATTTAAAACATATCCTTGAGTCCCTTACCCTCACCCAAAAAAATGCATTAGCTTTGTATAGAACTCGCATACATTCCTGTGGGGTCATTTACAGCTTTGACTCATGCACATCACATAGGAATGACATTGTGTCAGGGCAGAAGAACTTCAGAATGGGGAGAAGGAAGAACATTAAATCCATACCGAGGCACAAGAGCATTTAGACAGTGTAAGACAATGCCGGGAGGGAGGTATTTATCTTCAGATTAAAGGCTATTATTTATAGACCAATTGAAGTCAGCGTGGTTGTTCAGGTAAGGAAAACAAGGCTATGAAAGGACCAGGTTTTTTCTCAAGTACCAAAGTATAAAGCAAAGCTTAAAGAAGCAATGCAATCTGCTCTTGCAGACCAGATGCTGTACTCACTGAATCTAGGCCTCCAGCATCTGCTTCCTCAATGCTCAATATGCAGCAAATTCTACTGCAGCAAGTTTAGAGCCAAGAATAATAACAGAATACTGCACAATGTCATGTCATATGCATTGTCAGACAGCTAACAGCCTATAGACATGCCTAGAACAATTCTGGCTAGAGAATTTTAAAAGGACAGATCATATAATAGGTGCACAGTATTTTTAGGCACACTAGTCAATACAGTGGTGTTAGATAGTCAGCTTGATGTTTCAGAAGACAAGCCAACTACCTGCCAAGTTTCAGAAACCCAGCCTCACCCTGGGTGAGGTGCATTCTGCTACCCCACTGGATAATACGGAAGGTGTTGATGTGGGCAGACATTCCTGTGCATTGGCAGGGATAGCAAACTGATGAGCAAAAGAAGGTGCCAGATGCAGCAGCTCAGGCTGTATCCCATCAGTTGCTCAAAACTAAGTCCCACCTTTGAAAGCTTTCTACCATAATTTAAGGATTATGTTAAGAACTGAAAAAAAATCAAGTTCTCCTTCATCCAAGGGGTGGAAATGGATTCGATTGGAAATGCGTTTTTCCAGAGCTCCATTTCCCTTGGCTGAAGTGTGTGATTTATGTTGTCTTGCAGCTGGGTTTTTTTTTTGTTTGGTGGTGTTTTGGGTTTTTTTTTGTTCAGTTGGGTTTTTTTGTGGGTTTTTTTTTTGTTTGTTTTTACACTTAGTAAATTCTGATATGTGCTCATAGAAGAAAGGTGCTTTAGAATCAGTCTGGGTGACACAGAGGAAGACCTGATGCCAACAGCACAGCATGAAGCACAAGGAAGTCACAGACAGATAGGTACATCATGAAGAACGCACAGAGAAGGAAGCTCTGTCCCTTTACCCAACAGTAACAGACATTAGCTCACAGGTCGGGCCACAGTCTCAGGTCATAGGTGCTTCAAGGCATGGCTCCTGCACACTGCTGAGACTTCTGGTAAAGGACGTAAGGCAACAAGCTCCATTTTCTAGCCTCTGAACAACCAGGAACTGTCAATGGTATAAACCAGTGATGATGCTTTTTGCTCCATGTGCCAGAATTGCAATACATTTTACTCAACAACACACTAAGCCAGCAGTCCTCTACTAGTGTTTGGTATCTAGCAATAATCCTGAAAAATTTATGGATTTCTTAGAAGAAAAGTAGTCAGCAGCAGGTAGGGCTTCTCCGGCTTACTATCTTGTGAGAAGGAAGTCAGAAAATTGCTGCAGAGACCTAAGTACTTTAAACTATTAAGATACACGTCCAGACCAAGTTCTTCCAGTCTGTCAAGTTTGGCTGCAACTGCTTAATGTACTTCAAGTCATCTAAAGATCAGCAACAGTTCAAGGCGTTCCGAAATTCCCTAGATACCCATATTATTTGAACTTGCTGCATGCCTTCCCTTCCTCCTCCCTTTAGACAGTAGATTGAGGTTTCATTCAAAATACAGTTAGAAATAAGAGTTATTAGTATCTGCATAATAACCTGTCTTTAACGATGCTACTAAGACATGCTCGCTCTATTTTCCAGTAGAGGAGGTATTTTCATCTTGCATAACGGCAAAAGCATTGTTTAAAGCCTGTTAGTAATGTTTAGATTTTCAATATTTTAAATCCAAAAAAACTCCAATAATTGCAAACTGAAATGACATCAATCTCATCTGAAAGCACATACATGAACTGCAAGTTTAGACCCAAATCGTCGTAGCTCAGTCTGCCCATACCATTATTTACTTTATTTAATTACTAATTAGTTCAACTACTAATATCCAAATCAATACATTTTTGTTGTGTCTAGAGATGCACATGATATCCAAATTCTCTAGATCAGAAAAGGTTTCAAATCCTTCATGTGATAAAAGTAAAAAATTAAGCTGAATGGACTAAATCCACTTCCGGCGTAAGCTGAGAAGCTTGCTGATCAGCCACCATGGTCAGATCAAGTTGCATGAAAAGTTAGTTACTAACAAGAGTTGAAAGAGAGAAACATGTACATACCACACAGGAAGCTTCATATTGTTTCCCCAGTTTAGGTCTTAAAAATGCACTGAAGGAAGGGAGAAAAAGCATTAGAGACCCAGTACTTCAAGTGCGGATTTTGCTTAGTTATTTTAGGATTTTTCTCATGGCAGAAGGTTGGCAAAAGGCTGAGAAACTTAATGTAAAGGAAGCCATAAGGCCAAAACAATGTTCAGATACCTGTTGATGACATCTGACAAAATGCTGTTTCCTTTTATAGAAGACAAAAGTACCCACACTGATACGCCAAGAGGTAGTTAATCCACCCTCAAGACAAGTCCCGTTCCCCATGGATAAAATCTTCCATCAGGCAGTTTTCAGCCATTTTACCTCAGTGAAAGATTTTCAATATATTCTGTTTAAAAATGTGTTAACTATTACTGAACTTTGCCTTGCCTCTATTTTAAGACAGAGATCCATTTGCCAGTTTTGTATTAAGTATTTTCCTCCACAACTGCTGATGTGGAAGGCTTATGATGAAATGCAGGCCTGTACTCTGTAGGTAGAGAACACCCACCCTCTACTGTCATTCCCCTCAAGAACAGGATCAGAGTTAAATACTAAAAAAATTAATCAGGTCACTTTATTACAGCATTTTTTTTTTTTTTTTGGAGGACACTGAAACTGTGGAATAAAGGGATTTTGTGACTGAGGCCTTAAATTAGAGCCACAACCTTCAAACCTTCCAACCTCCCCCCACAGCCCCCGCAATGTTTTCAGTTTAGAATTCTGTTAAGACAGGATTCACAAGGAACATGAAGCCCCAGCCATACATTCAGCCTGCTCCTCACACATCATTACTCTCCAATCCAATGAAATAAGGTGAGACTTTGACATATCTGTTTGCATGCTGACCTCTCAAAGCATAGATTATACTTCCAGAACAGCTGCAAATACAGATACAAGCAAAGCTGCAAGTCCGGTGCAGCACTGAGGGATGCTGTTTCTGGAACCAGAGTTCCAGGAGTCCTCTTAAAAGTGGGGGTGGGGGGACGGACGACAGGGAGGAGGGGAGAGGTGCATAGAGACACATACACACGGATGTTTTAAAGTCAAATCAAGAAGCTGCCTGGGACTGCCACTAGGTTAAGCTGCCTCCAGTCCTTCCCCCATCCCCAACACGCACAGGTTGCTCTATATTGAGTGCAAAGAGAGCAGCTTGTTTCATGCCTTCATGTTGCAGCTGCAGTAACTGCTTCCTCCCCACCA